TTCCTCCAGAGCTAGAAAGTCAGTCGCTGAACTCTTAGAGGTCTCTCAAAAGGTCAACTTGTGATACGGTCCCAGGACTGATGGTCTTGAATCATGTCTGCTCATCTCCATCAGGCCTTGCTCTTTGTCTGCCTCCCTCTGACCCGTCTATTTACTCAGAACAACCCATACCTCTGTGATGAAGAGCGTTCGTTCATCAGCCATGTTTAAACTGCAGAGAGGATTAACTCGGCTAAAGACTTAATGCTCATGCACAGTCACCCCGTGCTCTGTTTGCCGTTTCCAGGCCGCACATCGACACGCAGCGATGTGAGGCCTCCCCCCTCCTGCTTGTTCTCGGTCTCTCCGGGCTCCCCAGGCCTCCTCCTCCTCCTCCTTTCGCGTCCTCATTTCGCCTGAATTAATTGAGTTCTCATTTTTGTGTGAAAGCTCACAGGAGGGCTGTGTGAGGAGGGAGAGAACAGTGATAGAAGGAGTGAAAGAGACGGAGTGAGATCAGTGGCAGGAGCCTAAGGGGGCATCGCTCTCCCAGAGGAAGGCACTGGTTTCCTGGGGGACGTCGAGGCCGCTCTGCAGTGGCTTACATCTTTATCCTCTCAACAGTCAGCACTTCAGGGAAGACGCAGGCTGGTGGTCAGGGTCAGGCAGATGGTGGAACATACCACCTAATTTAAGCTATTTGTGTCTTCAGGAGTAATGTCATGATCCTAGTTTTTGGTTTGTCTTTTTGAAAGGTTTTCTCCATGGATTTATAAAGAGAACTGGATACAGCGTCTGAGACAGGGCGAAGTTAAGTCCTATGAAAGTTGCTCAGAGTAGCATGAAGCCAAAATTATCTTGCAAAAGTACCCGAATCTGGGCACTTACGCTTACTCTAAACACCGCCTCCAATCCACAGCCTCACAGTCGCTCTCGGCTCAGTCGAATGAATGCAGAGGTAAAATAACTCTAGGTTCAGTTATTAGCACATTTAAAACCTTTTAGACCATAATGATTTAAATAAGGGCTATGAAAACATACTGGGAAGTTGACTCATCCCCCAAAAAATATCTGCTGATTTGCCCAATGTAAGTCAATGGGGAAAAAGTATGTTTGGGTCCAATGACGTCACGGACAGACACGGTGGTTGTAGTACCACCGTTTGGCCACTATGACAATTTACTTCAACGTCCGGAACACTTCATGGGGGTTTGTTTTCTCTCCCTGTGTCATGTCTGTTTTTACTTCCTGTCAGTCGAATGAATGCAGAGGTAAAATAACTCTAGGTTCAGTTATTAGCACATTTAACACCTTTTAGACCATAATGATTTAAATAAGGGCTATGAAAACATACTGGGAAGTTGACTTATCCCCAAAAAGATATCTGCTGATTTGCCCAATGTAAGTTAATGGGGAAAAAGTATGTTTGGGTCCAATGATGTCACGGACAGACACGGTGGTTGTAGTACCACCGTTTGGCCACTATGACAATTTACTTCAACGTCTGGTGCATTTCATAGGGATTGGTTTTCTCTCCCTGTGTCCTGTCTGTTTTTACTTCCTGTCCATGTGTGTTTTCGCACTTGTTTTGATAAACTGTCCTAGCCTTGTTAGTTTAACCTGTTTCCCATTAGCCCTGTTACTACTTGACCTCTTGTACTCTTGCACTGTATCCCCTCATTAGCTCTGCTTGTATTTCTGTCCTGGTTTTAGTTTTAGTTTTTGTCGGATTCTTTTGCCTTGCCCTGTCTGGATTACCTGAAACTGTCACATAGTGGAGCAGGTTGGACCCAAATGCAGGACATAGGAAGACTAATATTACAGACATGACACAGGGGCAGAAAACCTTTCAAAGTAAAACAGGAAACAGATAAACTAAGAAAAAAGGATCATGACAGTTAAAGAGTGGAAACACTGAAAATGTGTCTTCAAACATGAAAGTAGTGGTGAATTATGTCACAAAAGACAAGTAGGTCACTTACAGATAAACACTCATTTAACTTAAGTGAAAGTAGATTTTGGAAAGTACCCTGCTTATATACAGAGCTTTCATTGTGTAGCATGAGGTGTGACATGTGATGCTTTCACAAACCAAATGCTAACCAAAGTGTTAAATACGTGACCCGAGGACAAAGTAGTGTTATTATTGCTATGGAAACTTAGACAGCGGGAGTGAGCCCACAGACGCTACCTTGGCCTGAACCCTTTCAATTATGAACCATTACAACTTCTCCCATTGCAATATTTATGCACGGTCATATCACCCCTTCAGATGTCTTAGGTTGCTGTAAGTTGAGATAAACACTTGCCGAGTTGTAACAGCCAATCGTCCGCCTCTATTCCTCAATGTCACTGCCTTAGCACTCAATAATTCAAAGCTTGGCGGTAATGAGCTCCCCGTAGGCCCCGTCCCTCAGGAGCATCCCCACTGTGCCTCCACTGTAATGTAGTTATATCTCATGTCAGCTTTCAAATCAATTACATTTCTATCTGATGGCTATGTAATTGCGCCTGATTGAGTTTTTGGCATGCCAGCCAAGTGTGCAGTTCCCAAACTGGAGCCAGTCAAAACAGGAAGCTGCATCAAATGAAACTGTATTTCATCCTGATTGAGGCCGCTTGCATGATAAGCACAACTGTAATTATGATAATAATAACAATAGCATTGTGTGTTTTCTCAGCTTTGTTGTTCTTTCCTCCCTTGTTCTCCAGATGATATGTTTGCACCCCAAGGACAACATACATAATTTGCTTTATTCAAGATAGAAAGGGCTGATTTCATTGTTTGTACCATTTGCAATTTAGTAGATTAATTGGAAACCATAATGCTTTTGTGTATTTTAAGTGTCTGGAATTTCAGTTATTTCTAGTGAAGCACACTTACTGCAGGACTTTGATGTCACACATATATATAATGTGCCACTACTAGCAGAAGTCATACTGCTATTTGGCGTGATGCATACAAATAACTATAGCTCAGTTAGCTAGTTAAGCTAACCTCTTACCTATAGCTCCAAACTGACATTTACAGTCAGGGCAGCATTGTTGTATGTTTCAGATCTTTCAGAGTGTTATTTACACTGCATCGGCTGGATTGATAGAGAGGTAGATGGCCAGGCAGATGAATGTATGGATGTCAGGTTGGAAGAGTGAATGGATAGCAGAATGCACACACGACTGGATGGAAATACGGATGGATAGATGGATCAACAGAACGCATGCCTGGATGGACATAAGGAATACTCTAATGGAGAGGTATTGAGATAGATGAGGGGGAGGGTGCTGTGGTTAGGTGCATCAGCAACTAAATAGTGATGAATTGTGGCTGCTGTCAGCAGCACTAAGTATAACAGACATTGTAAAGCAGCCTGGCTCATCCATAATCAACAGACACAGATTGTCTTCATGCCAAAAGAGAACTTCTTTGGAAATAAAGCACTGAAAGCGTCTACCAATCTGTCTTTCTATCCTCACTTCATCATCCCTTTGCTTTTTATATCCCCTCACTCTTGGTGTTCTTGCCCTTTAAATCTCTTCTCTTGTACTATTTTCTCCTCATTCCTCTTCTTAAGGTCTTGCCTCTCTCTCTCTCTCTCTCTCTCTCTCTCTCTCTCTCTCTCTCTCTCTCTCTCTCTCTCTCTCTCTCTCTCTCTCTCTCTCTCTCTCTCTCTCTCTCTCTCTCTCTCTCTCTCTCCGACACTGTCTTTGTGTTAACAGCCTTCAATTTTTTAGCTGGAGAGCCACTGGGTGCACATCTACAATCTCGCCTTTCATTTCATGGCTTCTGGAAATGGATGTTTTACTGCCTTCATTAAGGCGTGCAGCAGTCAGCGCCGTGTTTTCCCTCTGAAGTTTAGCTCCATGAACCTCGCCATTAGAGGACATTATGGCCCCAGATTTCAGGGCACAGTGGAACACTGTATAATTTGATTAGTGTTATTAATCAAGTGGAATACCGCTTCTTTCACCCCCATCTCCCTCCGCCCCTCCTCCTCCTTTTTTTGCCATTTCAATCCTGCTTTCAAAGCTTTCAGACATTCTCTTCCCTCGTCCTTCTCCCCTTATCCGTGCACCTCTCTATTGCCTGCCGTTTACAACACAAACGCAGTGAAAGTGACAAAAGGCCGCACGCCTTTCCTTTTAAAAACAATGATTTACCACTTGTTTTTTTCTCCCCTTTCACAACCCGCCCCCCTTTTCCAACACAAGCCCCCCTCTCCTGGCCCCGGACATAAATCAATGGAGATGAAAGTTCCATAATTGTGCTTGCTGGGAGGGATTTGAGCAAAATTGCGCTATGAATTTTTTAAAGGGAATTTTTACTAGCTGTTCAGCGAGACTTGGGAGGCGAAGGAAGGTGAGGCCATAAGGATTTATGGGCCTGGATTCTTCATTACTGAAGTAATTTTCCTGCAAATGATAGTGCAGGACCCTGGAGGGGGGAGCACTGCCCGCCTGGGAGAGTACAACCTGCTTAATCTCTCGTGGAGAGAGAGCAGCTCACAGCACTAATATCATCTGTAAGGGACTGAGGCTCCATTTGTTCACATCTAAACTGCAGCAAGTGTATTTGTGATTCATAGTAATTGATTGCCCGATTCGTTCCAGGAGTTTCCATACGAGTTGATTTCATTACAAAGGATAGTGTTGTTAGAAACCACTTTGTTCCGGGGTCGCTTTTATAATGCAATGTTTTTACTATATATGAACATTTTGTCTGACATTTTAAGTGTTCTATATGATTTGTTGAGTTGTAAAGGTTGCTGCTGTAAAGGTGCGATGCAGTTTACATGGTGTGTTATTAGGTAAAGATGGAGGGGACACAAATGATTACCTAATACTTTCGTTTTTCTGTTTCCATCCAATTTGTCTGTTTTTTCTCATGCTGCTTTACTAAGCTGTCATATTGTTTTTCAGCAAGTAAGGGTCTCCATCTTTCCTCCACCTTTTAGTCTTTCCTCCCTTCTCATTTGAACCTTCCTCGGTCCAATATGGCTGACATTCTGTCTCCATCTCTTTAGGTGCAGCCAGCAGCAGTGGCCCTCCTCAAGGTTAGTGCGTCCACGATGCCAGGTCTCATTCTTTATCCTGCCTGCCGTCCATTCAATTTTACAGCTCAGTAGCTTGAGAAGCAGAAGGGGCAAATCTGCAGCAAGAAGGAGAAAGAGGGAGAGGGGGGGAGGAGGAGGAAGGGAGAACAAAATGACGGTGCACCCTGTCGCAGATTGAAGTGGATCTCTTTCCAGGCACACTAACAACTCAAGACAATTAGTCACTTCTCACTAGGCCAGACGTGAGACTCACTTGAGGGCCAGAAAAAGGCAGGAAGTAGAAGAGCCACTAGCATGTCTAAGCACTGCAGTTTCAGGAAATACTCAGTGGAGAAACTTAAGGGGTAAAATGGCTCTGCTGGAACGGCTCCTTGGAATCTTGTGTGCAACTCTCAGATAGAAATAGGAGTAAATGCAACAGGAAGCTAATGCACCAACCTATTATTATTATCATTTCCAGGTTCATATCAGTATTTAGTGTTTCTCCTGGGACATGTCTGCATGCTTTAATGTTGCCAGTATTTTTCTCATACTGCCTGTGCTGCAGCACCTCTTTTCACCCTCTGTCTGAAACCAGAGCCCAGTCTGCTCTGATTGGTTAGCTGGCCGGCTCTGTTCCACCGCTTAGAGATGTCCCGCCCCTTAGCCTATCACGTACAATGTGTTGGAGCGCTAGCCAATAGAAGCGTCAGTGTTACATAGTGAAGTCACTATGTCCAGGAAGTAAACAAAGGAGTACAATGGAGGTGTTTCAGGTGGGGGGGAACACAGGGATTTTAACCTTTGCAGACCATTTACATGCACAAAAACCTATAGAACACACTACTCATAATAGGGGATCTTTAAGATCTGTGATAAATACTACACATTACAAATAACAATTCATTTGGCATATTTTACATTAGTGTTGCCAGATTTTTTTTTTTATCACGGCCTGTCCACACGGCGGCGTGCGTTGTCGCTTGCCGGCGGGGGGTGCTGAAACTCGACCAACAACCAATCACATGAATCTCCCGCCCCGGACACACAAGCACGCGGTTTGATTGGCTAGAGCTTGTACTGGCATATGATTCGATTGGCTGACGCTTCCGCCGAAGCTTCAAAAGTTGAACATTGCTCAACTTTCGTCGCGAGCAACGCGAGCAAGTCTACGCTTCGCTCCCACAATGCAGTTCGGCGAAACGTAACGTCACCCCATTCAAAGTGAATGCCGCCGCCGTGTGGACGGGCCGTTATAGCGCATGGTGGAAAGGAGCAGGGAGAAGAAAATCTTATTTGACCTGCCCCTTCTTAAAAAAAAAAAATGAAATGAAATAAAAGCAATATTCTTTAAGTCACAGTCGCTTACAAATACTGAAACATAAAACCAGAACACGTTTTAATAGTAGGATCACATGTAAAATGCACTAAAAGTCTAATATCTTCGTGATCTACACAATAGTTTGCATTTTTTTGACATTCTTCAAGATAAACAAAGACAGCAATGTCAGAAGTCTGTTACGTTCCACTTAAAGGCAGTTTGCAGCCATTGAGGAGGCCCGGAGCTTCAGCCACCACATGCTCCTGAACAAAAGTGCAGCATGACTAAGGTGGGTGGTGCGTGGAAGATGAGGGAGTGGAAAGAGAGAAAAGTTTGTCCTGGGCCCTCTGTGGAGACGCAGCGTGACCAATTGAGGTGAAGGGGATGAATGAGGCCATTCACTGGCTCTAATGAAAGAGTTCCTGCTGGGCGCTGAATGAGGGTGGGCCCATCTGCAGCACATAGGCGTGCACAAACCAGTGACCTCGAAAATTACCCAGGAAGCACTTTGGGACAGTCACCCCAGTAACAGGCCGGGGTTTGCATGGTAACCAGGCGCTTCAATCAGTGCCTGGTTTCTTAAACAGAGCAAAGTTTTCTCTGTGTTGAAAGAAGTCCGTGTGAAATCAACTTCTTGGGTCACCCCCCAGGGCCGGGAAGCTGCCAATGATGTGAAAACGTCCATCTTTGAGAGGTGTGGGATGCTGCCGTCAGGACGTTTCCCCCTCAGGACACAAAGACCTGGCTGTCTGAGCTACATATGTACATGCCGGTATATGCACTGCTGTATGTAGGTTAATTAGGTTTGAGGCATTTATAGCGACAGGTTTAGGAGGCTGTGAAATAGATCCAATTACAAAGAGTCCAGATAAGGAGTGATCCGTTCAAAACCCCCGGGGACTGGACATTAAGTTTACAAGCATCCTAAAGGCTCCGGTTCATTGGATTTTATCTGTGTTATTTGGTTTAATATATTCAGTCTTGATGAGCCAGAGGCATGCAGGTCATTGAAGTTCCCATTCCCCGTCTCAGTTTCCCTCACGGAACTTTTGACAGCGTGAAATGACAATCCGCCCCTGCACGCATCCCCCACGTCAAAAAGTAATGAGATTGTGCTGCTGGAAATATCACTACAAAGCATCAGGCCTGCTCTCGGGTCTGACTGCACCTTCAAACAGCGCTGCCTGCCAGCTCGCCTGCCTGCTGAAAAAGGAAACGAACAAAAACAATCAGAATCAGAGGCAGAGAAACGGCAAGGGAAGCTCCCCACGCTGAGACAAACGAACACGCCGGGGCCTTTCATCCTGAGAGTGATTAGCCATCCGAAACGTTTTGAAACCCGGCTTTGAGTGCGTTCCTCAAACGAGAGAGTTCCATTGAGGAGTGGTGGTGAGATGTTTCTCGCTGGGAAGCGCCAGTGATCTAGTCTCTAATTGTGGCGCCGCTGACAAGGCTGGTGTGGCTGGGAGCTTTTTAAGCGGGGCTTTTTGCTTCGCTCTTATTCCCTTCCTGTCAGATCCAGCACCAAAGGCACCAGGGAACAAAAAAGACCCCCTCAGATTCTGTTCTAACATCCATCTGCCTGGTGCTTTGTGCATAAAAAACAGGCCTCATTTAACAAACTAATAGGCCCTGATGCCGGCCTAATGTGACCAAAACTACAATAGGTGTTGTAAACGCGCTGTTTGGTTGCAGATATTATCTAACATAGTTTGGTTAATTTATATTTCACTGATTGAAGATTCAAAGGAGATGCAAAGATTCAGGAACATATGCAATAGTGTTCCCCTTCTTCTGCTGTACACCAGGAACAAAGTCACGTTCAAGCGGTGTTCAGTTGAGCTGGTAGGTAGCTTTTTCCAGAATTTGGCACGCAGCGTCTTCTGTTCAAAAGCCAGGTTTTCGAAGGTTTGAGGAACTTGAAGAGCGGGGGTTTGAAGAATCAAAGAATCAGTGACAGTGGGAAAAACAAGGGAGAAGGGGGCGGAGAAGAGAGGAGTGGAGAAGAGAGAGAAGGAGTGAAACCCTAGCTCATAAAATCAGTATTATAACAACATTAATTGATGCTGCTAAGTGCCATATGCGGCGCCATATGGAAACGCTGCCCCAGAGGCCTGCTATAATAGACAGCCCGCAGCGGTGCACACAACTTGGCACATTTACAAACAAGGGACGTCCCATTAATATCAGCCAAGGCAGGAAACAGTGGGAGAGGGAGGGAGAGGGTGTTGTTTGTTGGAGGGGGTGAGAAATCAGAGAGGGAAACAACTTACCTCATGTTATGTTTGTTATGTTATACTATTTCAGAATCAGAATTACCAGGTAGGTTGACACGTACGAGGAATTTGACTTGGTGAAAAAAATTCAAAACACAAATAGAAAACTATTTTAAGAACACTATAATAACATTAAAAAAATATAATAAAATAAAATATAGCACATTGAAATAGAATGGAATGAAATATGTGCAGTAATACAAAAAACAAACTGATTTATCCACATTCCTACAAAAATACAGATTTAAATATCATTTAAAGTCTCTTCTCCTGTACTCCCACAGCCCCTTAATTACAGTAATATATGGCCCCTCCCTCCTGGGTTGATCAGACCGCCCTCTGTCCGCCCAACTGTCACTCCCACCACAGATGCCCAGTGGTCTTTCCTCAACACACACACACTTCGGCAGGTGAGGTGATTCATGGCACCTTGACAAAGGCGGTGTGAACGAGCTCTGTTTAACCCGGTCCGTGCCTAATCACGGGGCAGCTGTTATTTACTGCTGCTGTCCACAGGCTGCTGCACGGCTGCTCCCCTCCCTTACACTGAATCATGTTTTATGACGCACACTGTTGACATGGGCATTCTGCTAGGAGTTATTCACAGCGTATGTCCGTTTATTGGTGGTCAATATCACACCTATTCTAGATTAATAGGATGAATGACTGGCAGATTTACATGAACAAATATGTACTTTTCTAGCACATAATAAAATAATGTTTACGCAAAACTATTTCAATATATTAAATAAATATATTTATTTTTTGTCAAACTAATATTTTGTTAGTTTACTTACAACGATTTCAATATGTTAAATAAATATACAACACATTTTAGTCCAACAAATATAACTTTTTATGTTAATTTTAATATTTTCTTCAATGTTAAGTTAATTTACCCTATGTGAAATCAACATGACTTTTTATTTTTAATTTAAAGTGGACCTATCATGCTATTTGTAGGCAATAGCATAGGTCTCAGATATATAAAAATATATAAAAAACATGTCTATGAAGTGTTTTGCTCAAAATACCAAACAGATCACCCATTCTAGCCATGCCTCATATCCCTCTGTTTCACTTCCTGTTTCTAAGGCCTAGGCTCCACGGGGACGAAAACGGGTTGAATCCGCATATTTCTCATGCGTATAGCCCTTTAAGCTCGACGACGCCGTAACTGAAACGTAGAAACAGACCCCGCAAACGACAACGGGTCCAAAGGTGGATAGATCTGGGAACGGAGCGCTCTGGGGGGTCCAACGGGGCCGTGGGGTCGCCTATACGGTCATCCGTTTCATAGCCCCGCCTCTCCCCGCCTCTCCCCACCTCTCCCCACCTCTTCCCACCTCTCTGCGTACCCCGCATCATTGCTGATGTGTTTCGTTAACAACAACAATAGCTATTTTAATTACCTCTCAAACTAC